TGTCCAGTATGAAAAGAAATCTGCTGTGAGGGAGTCTGAATACTAGTGAACAGTATAAAGCTTGAACTTACATAAGAACAAAAGCTGTTCATCATTAGTGTCTTTCGTCAACTCCTCTAATTCCAGGACTGCATTCTAATCCACCTAAGGCTGAAAAAAAAAATATTAATATTTACCATAGTGATTTAGTATACATTAATTGTTCATGATGTACTTCATGACGCCAAAAATCCCCCAGAAAGCACATTTTTATGAGTGCAAGATTTGACTGTAAGAAGTTTCCTTAGCAACACATGAAAAAATAATATAAAGAATGTCTTTCCTATAGCATACATTTTTCCATATTAAAAAATCAATTGAAATGAGTTTTTATATGACAGAAGTATGAAGGGTCAATTCATTCCCTCTCTTTAGCAGTCACTAAGGGGCCTGTTTTGGCAGCATTGAAGAAGTTCTGCTAATAGCGGAGGGAATAGCAGGATTTGATCATGTCATACATGATAACCTTCCATCTTACATTCATTCCCTCATTCCCTTATTTAAAATTTACTTATATGCAGGAATGTTGTCAGGGCTGGCATTTTGAAATAAAAAATATGCAATAGATATGTTTGTAAGCATACAATTTTGGCATTAAAAAGACAGATAATATTTATAGAACATACTATCAAAAAGTGTACACTGAAGAACAATAGATAATTCTAGTTAACATGTAAGCCTTTTTATTTTACGCTAAGTAGCATGTTAAGGCAATGAATCATTTTTTATGTAACTAGTAATTAGTTTTATAGCAAATACTATACAAATACAACAAATGGTTGTAGCAAATACAACAAATTCTGATACAGAAGAAACTTTCCAAACTGAGTCGTCAGGTAATATAAAATGATTCCATCTCATGATGAAATTACAGTTTCCTAAACAATATTGGCTGTCAACAAACAACTTTTCATCAATCTTAATTTAATATACTATTTAAGCAAAAGAAAGAAATCCTAGCTGTGTTTAAAAACTGTGAAACCTTGTACACTTCCACTACTGTGAAATGACACTTTCTGAGTAATTTTTTTCCATTACTGTAGGAAGTAAATATTCTAAAATTTTGGTCATATTCTTAAATATCTTTAAAAATTGTCATATTTTGTATTACTTGTCTTCTGTCATGTATAGGAAGCATCTGTAGTCATATCAGCTGCTCTTTTTAAGAAGTAACTTTTGCAGTTTTTTGATATCACATTAAACATAATAATGGATGAATGGTTTAGAGAAAAATGAATAGCAGTAGGTTGAAAAGGACAACCCCTGTGGAGACCCTCCAAAATCTGAGGAGAATTTGTGCAAGTAGTAACACAACTGTCAATACACTTTGGTTTAGGGATAGATCTGTGAATTATACAAGAATCCTATTGTCATAATTATGTTACTGGGCTCTGCTGGAGTCAGGAGAAGAACTGGCCTGAGACTACATCTACATGTCCACAAGGAGACAGGATGATTTGTGTCTCTCAGGTAACCCTGGGGACATGGATATTAGGAGGATGAATTTTGAAAGGCTTTTTTGGTAGGTCTTTTGGTGTAAATTTTCCTCCTTCATTGATAGCTTGTCTGTCATAAACTGCTTTTAAAAATATTTATTTAGTTATTTAATCGAGAAGTTAATTTATGGTGCCCTTGTACAGCTACTTTTACTGAGTAGGAACTGAAGACACTTTTCTTTTCAAATATGCATTTCAATGCTTTATATAGAGTTACTAGCTCTTCTTAATTAGGCATAAACTGGGTAGTTTTCCTGTATATGTAATCTTTATGTAACTATTTTTTAAGATTGCAAAGGGTAGTTTTCTGTAAAGAATGTATTGAGATTAATAACATTTGAAATTCTGCTATCCAACATTTGAAAGCACCTGATTGGCAAGTGAAATTCTGCTGTTCAGCTATATAGTTGGCACAGATTCAAGTAGCTTTACAAGAGGGTTTTTAACTGGTTTGTACACACCATGTCTACCAACTGATGAGCTGTGGATCTACCCAGAGATTGTTTATTACAGAGACCGTTATTAATATTTCTTTTCTTCCTGTACATCTGAATGGTGCTTGGAAATGCCATCCAGCCACATTCCACATCTTGTGGGAAGAAGGGTTAGAGCAGGAAGCCACTGTCTGAGAGGCTGCAGGATACAGTGCCTGGAGCCATTGCAGCAGCACAGTGTGTGATGGAGGGACTTATGAACTGGCCTTGCTGCAGACTTGTGTGACTAGAAGCCTTGCTTAAGGATGCCTACAGAGCTAAGTCATTACCAGTGGGAAAGAACATTACCAGCTGTAAAATGAGAAATTTTACAGCTGTCTTTTAAAATATGTAGGTGGGTGATTTGGGTATAGTTTGAGATAGTCCATAATCATATCACATTTCCTTATTGTTCTGAAGTGAGAGAATAAAATGGCATATGAACTTAGTTTCTACATAGAACAACCAGAGTAGTTTGTTTGGAACTGTTCGTACTATACATTGACAGCAAAATGTGCAGCAAAGCATGAGAGATAGGAAGCTTCCTGCATGTCCTTGGGTTCATGCAAGAACTGGAACCAGAACAATTCCTGATAAGATTATTTCAAAAAGCATTCCAAGATTATCAGAAGGGTTGCACTGTATCATAAAAGAAAAAAAATACCCAGGTAAAATACAGCATGAAGAAGCAGTTTTCCAGCTCCTCCCATTGCTGCACGCAAGTGACACAGTTATAGTTAACTTTGGATTATCAATCACTGTGAAACAGAATGGGAAGGTTGTACATTTGAACAGCTTTTTCACTGCTTTTGCATTCAATGATGCGGCTCTCAGAACCAATACTGGACATGGAAATGGCAAACTACAGTGAGGTTTTAGATCCGACATATACAGCACTGGAGTTTGAAACCATGCAGATTCTGTATAATGGCAATGGTGAGTTCTTTGAGGCAAATTCAAGCCAGTTAACAGAAAAAGTGTAGTAATGCTATAAGGTGTTAGTTAAATGTTTTATTAATGGAGCATTTGGGGGTTATTTTCAAACTACAAATCTGCTCTCTTACACTTCATCACTGACTCTGAGTTAGTAACATTATAATTCTTTAAGGAAAATATAAGAGAAGTTATATATAATAAAGTAGCTGTACTGTCATCAGTCAGTTAATCAAAGGAAAAAAAAGTGGTCTATTCAGCAGTTGTTTTATTTACTGTAAGACAAATGAATAACTAGTATTGACAGTTTGGACATGGAAGTATATTTTGTATATAACTTTCAGAAGGAAAGGAAAAAATTGTCTAGAGGTTTGTGAAAAAAATTAGCTACTGTTTCTTGATGCCTAGTTTCTAATTGTTACACTAATATTTTTTTTTAATTTAAGTATTAATCTAGCCTTTCTAGCTAAGTGTATATAGGCACAAGAGAGATTTAAAAATAATCACATCAGCTTTTTAGAGGATAATGTTTAGTTGAGAAAATGTTTTTGCATTTGACTAATGTAACACTTTAGGCATATTTTTTTATATGCAATTTTTGAGAATTTTTCTCAATAATTTATGCTTGAAATAGAAAGCATACCATTTCATTATGCCATCATATGTACTGACAAAAAATACTGTGAATAAAGTATCAAGCAAGTTAAACTACTCAAGTATGGCCTTTCAAATATTTTAATACACTAAAAATATTGGTTTATTGTGTCTTAAAGTATAATTCATAGTTCTAGAGTACTATGTATTTTTAAAAGGCAGATTTGATATGTAGTGATTTGCAGGAAAAATATTTAGCAACTGCCATATAGAACCTAATTAACTTTTAATGTTGAGTTTTAAGTTTTTTCTGAATTTCTGCTTTTAAATTACAGCAAGCTTAGTAAACAGAAGGTTAGATTTGGTTATTGATTTGGGAAGAAAAACCAGAACTTTATGCACTAATTAAATTTGTAGCTGTCAATAATGATTATATAACTTTAGATGATTTCTCTGCTTTTTTTTCTAATATGGGTATTTCATTGGTCATATGTTTTTTGCTGAATAGCACCCTTTTGATCTGTTAATGTTAAATAAAATGAGAAGGCAGATTAGGGAGGTTGTGCTTGGTTGCATTATGTGTTGGTGATAGAGCTGGTTAAATTATCACTGTAAGTGATTAGCTTGATAATTATTAGTTATCGGGTGCAGCCTTTTTATGTTTAGAGTTTATTTTGAGTTTAGCCAAAGTATTTTCTTATAGAATTTATAAAAACATTGTATTGTTACAGTGCTAGTTTGGAACTGAAGGTTGCCCCTTATGAACCTTCTTGTGTATCTTTTCTAGCTGTTTAAACTAATTAGGAACATTTAGATAAGTTTAGCAAGCCACTTTCAGGCAGAGTACAAAATTCTGTTGAAATCAAAGAATTTTTCAATATCAAGTCAATTTTCTAGACAATAGTACCAAACCTAGTTTAAAAATATTTTTAAGTTTTCAAGTCATGACAATCCTAATTTTAAAATAAATTCTTTATAGAACTGAATTCTTATCTCTAAGATTTCTTTTTTGAATTTTTAATGTAATTCCTATCAATTACAGCTCAGAAAACAAAACAAAACAGGCTGCTTTTCTCTGTATCTAGAGAGCTCTTTAACTTTTAACCTCGGTGGGACACAATTAAAATTTTATAATGTATTTGTGTTATATGTTTTGGTTGGATCTATACAATATGGGTAATATTAATCAATATTAACAGTTTTACTGTTCATCCTGTATACTGTTCATGAACTCATGTATTTGACTTTTGAATTCATTTTTGCATATCTGATTAATGTGGCAGTCTTTCCTCTCCTGGACAAAACAACTACAGATACTTAGGGTATATTTTCCTTCTGTTTGAACCAGAAACAAAACAGAAAAGCTATTTTGCAGTTGTTTCTTCTAACACATCTGTTAACATTGTGACTCAAAGAATAAATATATCTGGTTTGATTTCAGATTAATTTATTCAGTAATGTGTACCATGTTCAGTGACTAATTCTTAATCACATAGCTAATATTCTGTGCAAGGAAAGACTGCACCAGTGCTCCTGTCAAAAATGTCTTCAAGGAAATAACAGACATGTTAACAGTTAACAAGTCTTTGTAAGAGAGTTGCCAGTTATTGCCAGCTTGTATGAGAATTGATAAATGGGATCTTTACCAATTAAGACTGCTTTGTGCCAAAGTTCCTCTTCATGTTAGTAGGAGTATTTATAATTATAAATGCAGAAAAGCACTTTAATTTTTAACCCTTCAGCTGAAAAGAATTTAGGACATGATTATTTGTTGTTATGAACTTCATAAATTCTTTTAACATCTCTATCACTTTGAAGGTGTTCATGTCAGTAAGAACCAGATGTAATCAGATGGGTCATGCTATATAAATTGGAAGTGGCAATTAAAAGAGAAAAGGCTAGGAAAAGCCTCTATTTAGGTACAACTTGCTCATGGGGTGGTTTTGGAAGTCTTATCCATAACTGTGTATGTTCTTGTCTCTTGTCAGACAGTTCCGGAGAAGCTGCCAACATGAATGCTGCCGACAACGGGGTCAGCAGTCTCTGTGCAATATGTGGAGACCGAGCGACCGGAAAACATTATGGTGCTTCCAGCTGTGATGGATGCAAGGGATTTTTTAGACGTAGCATAAGGAAAAACCACGTCTATTCATGCAGGTATTTAAAAAGTTCTAGAGGCACTAAATTAATGAATTTAAGCAAAAATTATATTCATACCATGTCATAATTTTTCAGTTATGTCAGGGGATTTTCAGCTTTTTCTTAAGGAGTGCTACTTGATATTACACATTCCAGAAACTATGTTCCAGGTGCTTGATGATCTTGTTGATATCATTACGTCACTGAGAAGCTGTTTCACTCTTTTATTTATGATTTAAAAAGTCATCTCCTGAAAAAAAAAAAAAAGGAAAAATGTTCATATTTTTACTTCAATATGAAAACTGTAATACTTAACTGTTTTCTAAAATTCTTTCCTTATAAAGGTAGTTTCTGAATAGAAAGTCTAATATTTATGGGTCTTGTTTTAAGGACTGTACAAACACATCTGCACATATTCCCACTTGGTGTGACACACAGGTCTTTTGAGCAGCCATTTCCCCCTGTCTGTCTGAATGGCAATCTGTTAATTTCCAAATGGTGCCCAAAATATCACACTGCACCATATTTGATGAAATTATCTGTGTACGCTCAGGGCTAGAAAATGTCCATTTTGAGTCATGAGCAGAGTATATGGAAAACTCAATGAGTTTGAAAAAATCACTAAAGGGGTATATTGGTTTTTCATGCCAAGATTTTGGTAGCGATGTGGCTACAATAGTGGGTTCTTGTGAGAAGCTTTCAGAAGTGTCCCCTGTGTCTGGTGAAGCCAATGCCAGCCAGCTCCAAGATGGCCAAAGCTGAGCCTATCAGCAATGGTGGTAGTATCTCTGGTGATAATGTATTTAAGAAGAAAAAATAATTATTGTGCAGAGAAGAGTAGTGACAATGTGAGAGAGGAACAGCTCTGCAGACAACAAGGTTAGTGGAGAAGGAGGGGGAGGATGTGCTTTAAGTGCTGGAGCAAAGATTCTCCTACAGCCCATGGCACAGACCATGATGAGGCAAGTGTCCCTGTGAAAACCATGGAAATCCACGGAGGATCAGATATCCACCGCAGCCCATGGAGGACCTGCTGCTGGAGAAGGTGAATACCTGAAAGGATGTGACCCCATGGGAAGACTGTGCAGCAGCAAGCTCCTGGCCGGACCTGTGGCCCCATTGAAGGAGGACCTCACACTGGAGAAGGTTTTCTGGCAGGACTGTTGACCCCACAGGGGACCCATTGCTAGAGCAGCCCAGTCCTAAAGGACTGCATGCTATGGAAAGCACCCATGCTGGAGCAGTTCATGAAGAACTAAACCCATGGGAAGAACTAACACTGGAGAAGTTTGTGGACAACTGTCTCTGTTGGGAGAGACCTGACACTGGAGCAGTTGAAGACTGAGAGGAATCCTCCCTTGAGCAGGAAGCAGCAGCAGAGACAACATGGGGTGAACTGACTATCGCCCCCAGTCTCTATCCCCCTGTGCTATTGCATGGGGTGACAATAAAACCTTTATAAGAATGCCTTGTTACTGGAGATGTTGTTTCCTACACTCTTCTTTGCCTGCGTAATATTCTTATAAGGAAACCTCTCCCTTACAAACATTGTCAAATGAAATAGCATAGACATACCCCTAAAGTGGTGTGTTAAGAGCTGACATAAGTGATTTCAGGAAGAGTTCTGCTTTTGCAGAGTCTGTTTATCTAACAAACACATGCAAAGAAGAAAAGGCAGACCTAGACAGAGAGAGGGGCAAATGGCTCGTATGCATTCCCTTTAGGCACACCTGTAGATGTGCATAAATAGCCTCGGTAAGCTGCCTTGCAGTGTCATGCTCCATGTACTTCCTCAAGTCTTTATTTCATTGTGTTGGTTCCTCTCATTTCCTGTTTAGGTTGCCACCTGTAGTGATAAAACATGCAGCTTGTTCATTGTTATCTCCCAGAAAGAGTAAACACTGCCAGACGAGGGTAATGGTTTTGCAGCTAAGGGGCTCCTCCATGCCACCAACATATGACTTTTTCTTTGATTTTCCTTTCCTATTCTATTTGCAGCTTTTCTTTATTTTTTTTCTTCCACTTCCATTTGATGCAGCTAGTTACTGACATACCTCACGAATCAATTGAGGTGTAAATGATATACATCCCTACAAAATTTTCCATACTTGACTATTCCAATGCATACATGTGTTTATACAGACACATATATTCCTGGAAAATTATCAGGTTTGGGACACCTTTCAAAAGTGATTAATAAAAGAAGAATAATCAATGCAACTGAAGAAGAGAGTCTGTGGTTATAGACATTATTCTGACAGGACCGATTAGTTGGTTTTCTTCTTTGTAATCAGGGTGCTACTTTATTAATGCTGTAAACATTTACCTTTTCTTGTCTCTGATAGATTCAACCGACAGTGTATTGTTGACAAGGACAAAAGGAATCAATGCAGATATTGTCGTTTAAAAAAGTGTTTTCGAGCAGGAATGAAAAAGGAAGGTAATGGAGTAATTTGTTATTTGATATACAAAGATAAAAAAAAATCTGAGTTAGCTTTGAAATATAATGAAAATTCTAAAAAACTCCACCAGAATAAACCAATGGAAAGTCTGCTACAATACCTTCATAATGGGAAAGTGCTTTTATATTGAGGTGAAATATATGTCTTCTAACTTTCAAGTGGATAAGCAGTTCTAGAACTTCGAACACTAACAAGTCCATGGATTTAAAGTGAATTTGCGACTGTTTAATTAATTAATTCTTTCACCAGAATTCATTGATTTCTACATATTGAGCCATATGCTGGAATATTTCAAACCGTGAGATTTTGCTTAAAATGTTTACCAAATCTGAGTAATAAAATCTCTATCTGGCTTTTTTCCCACCGTGCCCTAAGTAATGACAGGGCCAATTTACTGGTTCTTCCCTTAAAATTAAACACATGAAGCATTTAAATCAGACAAAGGACTGTGAAGTTGAGTGAAAAAGTAGTCGGAAGAGTAGTGGCAGCTGTCAGTGGAGACTCCACATTAATTAATAAAAAAATCTAATTTCCCTACGGCTTAATATAGGAAAATTGTTACTTAGCATCTCACTGACAGATATGAGAAGCATGTGTCACATTGATGCTTCAGTCAAAGTGGAAGGACCAGCTCACCACAGGAGCTGAGCAACAGGGAAAGAAGAGCAATGCAAATATTAGAGGGTTTATTTTTTTTTTTTTTAGCTGTTGTTTCAAAGGCAATAATGATGTAGAGGCAAAAGATGGCCTTATTTGTTTCAAATACACTCTCAAAAGTTGTTTGCCACAAACTTATCTACCTTTTTTGTTTGGAGCATGGTGCATCTGCTTGCTGGCCAGTCTGAAATGTGAATGCTTAGTTCTCTTGTAATATGGCTATCATTCTTTTTGTCTGTACAAAGGAAGCTTTTTCTTTATGCTCTGAAGTATCTGTCTTGTAGCAGTACTTTCCTAGTGATCGAGTTATTAGTATGAGATAAAATGAATTTTTCTCCTTGAAAGCTGTATGGGGATATTCTAAACAGCATTGCACAGGGTCTGAAATAGGTTTGCCTACTATTGTGCATCTCCTTTAAGAGACTTTGGCCTTTTGGAATTTGAGCCATTAAGTCAGTAACATATTGTATATATGTTATGAATCTGATGTGAAGCAAGAGAAAGATCTGTGAATATGCAGCAGCCCTAGAAGTTTTGCAAATAGAAGAACTTAACAGACTTTCAAATCCTGGAGTTAAAGAATAGTTTATCTCAGAAGAGACATCTATAGTTCATATAGCTCAGCTCCCACATAAACCAAGGCTGATACTTAGGTTCAGTCAGGTTGCTTGGGACCCTGCCAGACAGATTTACACAGTCTCTGAGAGGGGAGATTGAAAAACCTCTTGCTCTACAAGCTCTACCAGTACTTGACCACCCTCATTGGGAAGGTTTTTTTTCCCTTATAACTAGTTAGAATATCTCTTACTGCAGTTAGAGTAGTGCCCATTGGGTCTTGTCTTTTCTTTATGCATCTGAGAAGAATCTGGCTCCATTTTCAGAATGCTACAGAAATGAAGACATCCATGTTGCTCCTCTTTTTTCCACATCAGCAAAGATGCCTGTCTGTCTCTACTTCACCTTGTGCATCATGTGGATTACATCTCCATAGCCCCCTGCTGGACACTACCTAGTTTTCCAGCATCTTTCATGTGCTGAGCAGCCCAAAATCCAGAAATGCTTATTTCCCTTAAGATGCTAGTGCAGCCTAGCATGGCACAAAATTTTTAACCCGCTTAACGCTACTCTGCCCTACTCTGATCCCAACTGCATCTAAGACTTTCAACATTACTTTTGTTATAACCTCTCAACATGATCAGGGCATGTCTTGTAGTATAAGTATAGCATAGAATCTATGATAGTTTCTCACATTTTTAGCAAATCTCTTTCTTTTCTCCAGGACAAAGAAAAGAGAGGCTTTAGTTATTAAAAGCTTTATAAGTCCTCTTTGAGCAAATGTACCACCCTCCCACCCTCCTCATGAAGTCTCTGTTTAAGGCAATTTTAGCCTGAATTGACAATAAAGCTTTAGCCACATAGTCTAGTCTAATAATCCAAAATTATGTGTATGTAGAAGAAAATTTAAAAATCCACTATAGTTTTAAGTGTGCTCCACCAGTGATTTTCACTAGTGGTGTACTGGTGTACCTTACTGTTTTTGCAAAACTAATCGATGCTGAACTTATTTTAATTATCTATGTTTGTTTCAGCATTGAATGTTTATTTCAGCATTCTTTTACAAAAGGTTATATTTTCTCTTTCCTGTCTACAGCATACTAAGTGTTTATCACCACACAAGATTTCTTCCTGTGACCTTAATAAAAGGCCCATCAATGAATGTCCCTGCAAAAAAGTTAGTGCACATCTGAAATAAACTGTGTGCATTGTTCTGATAAACCCTGAACCTACTTAATGCACAGAGGGTTTTTTTTTTTTTTGGCGGGGGGGAGGCGGGATTCTAATTGATAATTGTTTTACTAGTACTAAATTCTGTAATGCAGCTTGTTTCCCACAATATAGCAAATGTATCTTTGGGAATAAAGTTGCTGCTCTTAAAAGACAATGAAGTTGCTCATGCAGTAGAAAGATTTCCATTGGCACAATTTTTTTTCCCCTTCTTTTTTTTCCTTGGCCTAATCTTTCACTACAGATCTAGGTTTTAGAAGGATCTGACTGTTAGTTTTTTTTTTCTTTTCTTCTTCTTTTAGTTTAAAAGTAAACTTTCTTGCTTCATAAGCTTTGCTTGTGCTGATTACAGATTCCTTATCCAAAGCTCTTTCAAATGCCTGTTTTTGAACCCCATGAGACAAAACTTAATGAATATACTGTCCTAAAACTTTTCTCATGTGCTGGTTTTTGGGTTGTTCTTTTATCCCCCTGTAACTTAGTTAATGTTCCCTATACTGGCTAGGAATGCAGTGTCACTGAGGAGGAACATGAGATTTAACTTTCAGAATTATCTTGCTAGTGGATTAAATTCATAATTCATTTGTGTTTCATTGTTTCCTACAGCAGAGTAGGAGCAGGGCTTTCATACTTCCTCTGAGAGATATTTTTTCAGTGGTGATGCTGTACCACTTGACCTGTTTGGTAGTCTGGAAATGTCCATTTCTGCTGTTATCATAAAGCCTGACTTATTAAATTGGTTGAAATTGAGACCATGTGTTCAAGTTCAAAGGCAGAAAGAGGTTTGACTGTAATTAAGCTAGTGACAGAAGTGCAGATGATTCAGTGTCCATCTGCAATTAGTTATACATGCTTTTTACAGACAAGTAGTGTTCCAATAGAGACTATAAAGATGTATATCATCCTTCCTCATCACGCAGAGCTATACACAGATCATCTTCTTTGAATGGCATGCCTTTCAGTTCTTAGAGTTATGTTCTGGAATCTAGTAAAGTTCTGAAATTATTCTTTGTGTCAGTGTTTACAAGTCAATAAATTAGATGATTATTCTTTTCCAGCTGTACAAAATGAACGGGACAGGATAAGTACAAGAAGAAACACTTTTGATGGCTGCAACAGTCCCTCTATTAGCACACTGTCACAAGCCGAGACACTCTCCCGCCAGGTACTAAGATCTATCACAAAATTATTTAGTGACGTTAAGACCACTTTTACTAAAATTAAATACTTCTCTATTTATTATTACATCGAAAATAATTATTGAGATTACTTTTTTCCTACTTCCAAAATGCACTCAGTTTCCTCTTCTCAATGGAAGAAGCCGTAATAGAATACATTCTTGAAGCATAGTCAATAAAATATTCTACTTTGTCCAGAACAATATGTCTTAGGCACCTTTCTTAATAAAGGTTTATGGTTCCTACTGCTTTTAAATCAATTGCTGTCTTGGGCAGCTGGTGGCATCTATCTATCTTTGAAGCAGTCTTTCCCATGAAACATAGGGAAAAATTTGTCTAAAGCCATTACATTCAAAGGGGTGTGGACACACATTTCCTTACATTCTTTTGAAAATCCCATTTTTAATATCTTTAGACATTATAAGTAAGGCAAAAAAAAGTGTTCCAACTGCAGAGTCTATTCACATCTCACTTTTAAATTTTCTTTGTCTCATCTGAACTTCATTTTCTCTTTTCCTTTTTTTTTTTTCCTATTGAATCAATTGCTGAATGGAACAGTCTCCAGTCCTTTTCTGCACCTCAGATAAATCATGATCATTGATTCTGCATTCTTGCACCTCTTACTAACTTGCTTAGAATTTAACTGCCACCTTTATGATTTCATACTGACTGATTTATACATCCCCAAATGTTTTGTAATCTCATTCTTTATCAGCATCTCTCTTAGGCTGGAACTGCCTGTAAAGAATTGATGCAGGAATTACTGGGTTATAGTCTTTGGCACATATTGCATGTCTGGGCAGACAAGATGAACATAATATACCTTCCTACATTTCCTACCTATACACTATGAAAAATATATCTATATTTATCTCCTTCGTAATTTTTTGAACCTGCTTATTGCGCTTTTTTTTAATACTCCTTAATCATTTCCAACTGGTATATGCAATTCAGGAATAAGAACTGTCTTGAAAAGAATCACATCCTCAGCTGTTTATAGCACAAAGTTTTTTTCAAATAGTAGGTTCTTGGCCTAAAACATCTCCTTGTGTATACACAAATTTATTGTACTTACTATTGGATATGTTTTAGTAGAACAGAATTGCTTCCACTATGTCAAGCATATATGAAGATACAATCTTGGCTTCAAAGTCCAAGAGACTCCATTAGCATGATGGAAAAGCAAAGAAGTCTTAAAAGTACTTCTCCCTCAGTTGAATAGGTCTACAAGATGAGTTCAGTCCTGAGAAGAGACATAGAGGAGATGGTAGTGTCCCAAATGATTATTCAAGTACTTCAGCTGTAAAATGAGGAAGAGGGTGGCATTCATTTCTTTTGAAATGTCCATATGAATAAGGAAAAATAGGTGTTTTCATCCCTTTTGAAGTGTTCGTAATAAATACGGAAAATTAGTAATTTTTTTTCATTAAGATTCCGTACAGGGGGGAATTGTCTAAGTACAATTTTTCTCATACTGACCTGGGAGAGGCTTCCAGGATTATGTAAATATGAAAAGGTTGTGCTTGACTCTCATATGAGTAAAGGCATCTGTCCCTGAAGGTTTTCAGAGCAACTGGGATACAGTGTTATATTTTCATGTTCATCAACTCATTAACGGGTACAAGTTACACCTCAATATAAGAAAGTAATTTTTTACAATGAGAACAAGCAATTACTGGAGCAACCTTTCCAGGGATGTGGTGGAGTCCTCATCACTGAAGATTTTCATGATGCGATTGGACAGGGTGTTAGATAATCTCTAGGATTCCTTTCCCATAAAAGTTGTGACCTTTCAAGGTTCTTCCTAACCTGTGCTAATCTCTGATTCTATCAAGTCACTGAGCCCTATGTTGTACCCCATAAATGAGAGGCAGGTTAAAGCAATAGAGAAATAGAAATTGAAAAGTTCATAGCTTCATATCCTTGTCAAGACATATAATCCTAGGTGTTCGTAATGACCTCCATGGGAGTCATCCCACAAACCCTCAGCAGAAGTTCACCAATTAATTTCAGCGTGGAGATTGTAGTTTGTAATGTAAGATGTAAATTATAAAAATGCACATCTTTGATTAAATATATTAAGGAAGGACAATGTATTAACTGCATGGGTCAGTATGTCTAACAGTTAAACAATCTACCTCTTCTTTACCTTCTTGTATTATCTTCTAGTTGCTGTATGGTTAGTATCATTTTCAGGCAGATCAGAATTTGACCTACTATCAGAAATCTCTACTTTGTACCTTTGAATCATGATCAAGACCCCTTTTATTCTTCTGGAAAAAAAAAATGTATTGAATTTCTTTACCGTCTTTCTGTACTGAAGGTTTTCTAGACTGAATCGCTCTGGTAGCTCTCACCTGAATGAATATCAGTATTTTCAACCTCCTTTTTGTAGAGGAGATGCCAGAGATGGATTCATGATTATAGCATGGATTTCACACATTCTCTGTCTACAAAGAGGCAATACCTCTAACCTTTTTCCTACATGATAGACTTTGAATTATGTGTCTGAGGAATTTTTCACCTGCCTAGTTGCTGTATTTCCCTGAGAGCTAATGTTCAGCTGGTTAACTGACATAAATATCTAAGCTGTTTCCACTGTTTTACACTACTGAATTATGTAGGAAACATAGAGCTTTTGTTCTGATGTACAACTCCTTTTGACTACTCAAGGATAAGGGATTTCACTACAGATCCCACTGTGGGGTTTAACATGGGTATATGGATGAAGGGAACTTGTAGGAGTCAAACTAAATACTTTCCACCATCCTGAAAAGTGTAGGAACATGGTAATGGAAGACAAAACAATTAATTTCTTTTCCTGAGGAAGATAATCACGCTACATAATTTCCCAAATATGCTTTTGGTAATAAAACATAGAGGGAAAGTCAGTTTTATAGGCCTTGTATGGTGATAAATTTTTTTTATTTTTTTCTTTTTATTTTTTTTCTTTCTTCTTCTCTCTTTTTCATTTTGTTTCCTTTCTTCTGTTTTTTTACCTTTTCTGCTTCCTGTTTCTTTTTGTTTCCCTAGTATGATAGCAACTATAAACTGGCCTTACCTTCTTGGGTTTGCCTTTATCTTAAGCTGGCTTTCCTGCCTGGCTCAAGAGAAAGCCTGGTTTTGTTCCTTTCCTTGAAAAGTCATTACGAATTTCAGGAATTGGCTCAAAAGAAGTGCCCCAGCTTTAGGCCCAGAAAGATATTGCTCTCTTGCCATTTCACAGAACACTGTTCCCTGCAGGTGGTCTAATGCACACTCATATCCTTTACATTTCCTCTGAAACATCTCAGGCCTCTGCCTATACCGCTGCTTCATCATTACAAACCATTCTCCTCCAGGCACTAAAACCCCCCCTGTTTTACCTTCTGAAGTTAATGATACCTATCTTTCCACTAGAAGAGCATGTTACCCCTTTACAATTCTCTTTGTCTTATTATCTCTGTCCCTTAATATTACTACATGCCACTATGAGCTCTTCTTTTTTTCTGAAATGAAGTAAATGTCAACCATTTTAAAGAAAAATCAAAACATCTCCCTTCTACAAATGAAAAGAGCTCTAGCATTTTTTAAAAATAGTATTTTGGAATGAGAAGATATTGTATCATGATATGATTAATTAAAGTTTTAGCATATTGCGATGCATACTGGCATACTGAGAGAGAAAAATGTATAATTTATGTGCAGGGTAATGGTCCATATGGTCAAGGAATTTCTCAAGAGTGTCTGTGATTACTGCTTTGATTTTTTCTTAAATATGCTACTAACCAGTGGAAATAAAATTATATGAAATTTAACATTGTTCATTTTTTCTCTCATTATGGCTAGATCTCAATCTCCAGTCCCAGTGCTAGCACTGATATAAGTGTTAAGAAAATTGCTGGTGTTAGTGATGTCTGTGAATCTATGAAGCAACAACTTTTGGTCCTGGTGGAATGGGCTAAATATATTCCAGGCTTCTGTGAACTACCACTCGATGACCAGGTATAAGAGGAGAACAAAGAGAAAACTCTAATTACTGCTCAGTTATTCCTGTGATATTTAAATGTCAGGATGAAGCACTCATTCTTTTTTGTCTGAACAAATACAGCTGAATAGACCTATCCTCTTAATTTATTTTATTTAAGTTGTGCAGTAACACCACCATAACAGAAAAGACATGAACAGGAAGAAACAGCAAGGAAGCATGGCTTTAACTGTTTTGTTCTTTCTTTAGTGTTTTAGAAGCAGAACTTTTTCTGACCTTAAAAAGTATTTTTTTCATGTTCACCTTTCATTATAATATGGTATAAAACCGCATGTTATTTAATTTGAAGCAAGTCTTCTCTACTTGCAAAAACCAAAAGCTATTAGAATCTCAAACAAATTCCAAACAGTGATATCAGTTCATAGCAAATACTCTTTCATGCAATACAATGTATTAAAATTATATTGTATATAATAAATGTAAGGAAAACACCAAATCTTGAAAATTCATAAGAGTTTTTGTGACAGAGGTCTGATCTAACATCACATCTGCAATATATACTAATACATCACTGGCTTTCAGAGTAGGTTGTGCTGGCAAACCCAGAACCAGAATCTCCACATTGTGGGAATCAGTTCTCCGACAAGCAGCCTCAGAAGGAGATTAATTGATTGCTTGGGATCTCTTGATTCCTCACCAAAATCTGATTAATCTTGAAAATTACTCTGTGAACTGGAATTGTGGAAATATTTATTTTGCTTCTTGAGACCCCCAGTTTTTTAACAAAATCCTGCAAGTGTTAGGTTATCCTTCGTTTGGACTGAATCATTGCCCTTTATATCGTTCCTCAGGAATATGGGTATATTTCAGGCCACAGGAAACTCCCCAAAAAAGAAGTTAAATGAGTTAAATGATGTCTTTGCAGACCAACAGAGCACGTTTTTCACAAGCTCAACATACCTGAATAAGTTTAAACTGTTCATGTGAAAAAGATATTTCAAATGTCATTACTACAAAAGGGCAACAAAAGCCAGCAAAAAAATATTGCTGCTTTTATTCTTAAGATAGTATGGAGGAAAAGAGAAGATATAAAATATCCTTAAAATGTTCCTATCTGAATTTAAAAAATAAAATATCAGCTTAGAATGATAGGCTGAAAACACCCCTGCTGTGCTTGAAGAGTACGTGTTGGGAAATACTCTGAAACCTTAAGTACATTAGAAAAATAGGGACAAATATGTTGAGAGGTAAAACAAATGCCACTTTTTCTTTGTGATAGCTAGTTTCTAAGGGGCATTGTGCATTCAGTTATAAAATAAGCCAGCTGGTTTTCAAAAAAATTATTCCTGGTATGGGAGTAGCCTGATTTGCAAACCACAGAGGAGACCAAAGCAGTTAAGGTAACTCTACAGAGAACCTGAAATCCTAACACATAAGTATTACCCAGGTGCTGTGTACCTTTATATCTCTCCTAAAATGTCTGGCTTGGATTAGAATTACTTGTCAAGAGATGAGTTCTTTGAGGAAATAAAGGCCATTGCTGACATTTCAAGCAGACAGTAAAACTAGAGGAAATAGGTGACTAAGACTAAATGAATAAACAGAAGTTCCTTCCTAGTACAAATTGGGATTCCTCTTTGTGGACAATAGTGGCACTGTTAGCATATCTGGCTTTGTTTGGAAGAAGCTCTTTTAAGTGCTGCATAAATTTTTGATTCAAGAGAAAAAGTAAACACTGATAGAACCAAATTTACTGTAACAGTTCATTCCAGCCCACTGGAGTATTTAGTGTCAACTTAAAATGCCAGAGAAAACTTTGCCAAGGGAATACACACCAGAAAATAAATGCAGATAGTATATTTATTGAGAAGAATTTTGGAGATCCTGACGTTTAAAATCTAGACAGAATGCTAGATATGACAGAGATGACAATTTAATTAGAAAGCGCTGGTTTTATGGTGTTCAGATTTTTGCATCCACTTTACATTTTACATTGGAATCTTAATAGTCTTCAGCATATATCTAACACACAGTAATATGTATCCTCTTTTCATTTGCTCTTATTGAAACTTACTGCTTTATCATCTAATGAGTCTGTTGGTTTTTTTGTGAGGTTGCCCTGCTAAGAGCACATGCTGGGGAGCACCTGTTGCTTGGAGCAGCAAAACGGTCCATGGCATATAAGGACATTTTACTTTTAGGTAAATATTGGTTTTGTTTTACTTACTGATGATGGTGTTATAGTACATTAGCAACGGTGTAGTCACTTAAGTGGGACAACTGTTCTGGCACAATCAAAGCAATGCATTCTGTAAATGCTAAATAGCTATTAATGACATAATGTCACGTGCCTCTTCTAGCAAAAGCAGGTGGATGGTTTCATGTGGGTTAATACAGGTAAAGGTATACTGGATAGCAGAAACAATAATTTAAGGGAGTTCCTGGCAATTGCCTCCTTACATTATCTTCCTTTCTGCACCCTTTCCCATTAAAAAATGGAATAAAATTACACCACAAAAACAGTGTAAAACCCCCTTTGCTTAGGAAAGGGGTATGCACGTGTATTACTATCAGTCTTCATGAAAACTATTTATCTGGAGCTTTCTCAGGAGTCCTTCAGACTCAGAGAAGACTCTATTGGCTGGAATATTAGATAGCATGTTACCTGCAACTCCCTTTCTCAAGACCTCTCTCACTTCTTCCTGTACAGTCCCCATATGGCTACCATGTAAACATCATTCCTGCTGTCCCTGCTGCGTGGCAGATGGGTGCACCACGGCACAGTGCCGAGGCACACCTGCAGGAGTGCATTTTTGGTCAGCTCAGATGTCTCCTGTGTTGGGCTGTATAAAGGGAACATGGCTGTCAGGGAAGAGGATGTTGTCACTGATGGAAGCATGTCTTCTAGTTCATGCAAATGAGAGGACCAGTTGCAAAAGAGTGGAGAGTGATGTGATGGGGCATTTGTTAACCTTGTTTGACACCGTGCTCTGCATTCTGAAGTGTACTCTGCCAAAAAGGGCCTCATTAGACATGGTCAGCATTGGGGTTGTTTCCTGAGACAGGCTGTTGGTTGTGTGGGACAGGATTTTTGATGGGCTATATGGAATACGGACTCAGACTTGTCTCTTCACTGGTGGTGTGGTACAAGGACATTTTCTACTACTTGTTCTCCTTCCTCTTTGAGCCTGCCTTTTTATAGCTCTGAATTAGCTTGAATTTATTTTTACACATATTAAAACATTAAAAGGACAAGAAGGGCTTGGTCTGAAGGTATTTCTCTCATCAGCAATCTTTTCAAGCTAAAAGCTGTACAAATGTCTTTCTTAAGGTACTTATTTCCCTAAATATAGTTTCACTAACAAAATTAACAGAAACTAAGAAAAAATAAATTTGCAATTTTATTTGGATTAGTAATAAGGTAAAAAGGCAAAAAATGATAAAATAATAGTAAGAAAATTATATATCATGAGCCTCAGCAGATATACCAAAAGAAGAAACAATTTGAGGTTTCAAGGCTTGTTTTTGATACTTTGAGGCAGAGATCTGTTTTATGAGTAATTTTGACATAGATCTCTTGTGATATAATTATCAGTTTTTCTTTCAAAAAACTGCATGGTGACTTCTGAAAGCTCCATGATATTCCTGGTATTCTCCAGAAAGTTAATTAAGATACCATAGTGGAGACCTCCAAAATGGATATTTTTTAAAAAAACCCAAAACCCAAAAAACTCAAGGTAAAATTATTTAACTGAAAATTTTACTATGCTACTAAATTTTTTTAGGAACAACAGAAACATCCTTTAGGAACAAAAAGTGTCTCCTCTTGCCTATTGTCAAATCCTTGCCATTCAGCTTGGGATATATTATTTTATCAGGGAAGACGACATTTTAAGATCAATACATTGGTATATTTATCTGTTATTTAAACATAAAGGTCTACTTGCTTTGCACCAGTACCTTCAAATACCAACCTTGGTCCTGTGGACTAATGAGTAACTACACATTGGCATACTTATATGTGCAGAGTATTTACTAGGGGACAGATATAATTTGCACTTATATACTCTGCAAAGAAAAGTTGTGTGTGATGTAAGGGAGAGTTGTTACTTAAAAAAATTAACTTGATCAATCAATATGAAATATACTTTTGGAAACTGGCTTAATCCAGTATATTACATCAAAATGTTTCTCTTAATTAATATGTTGATATTCTTTCTCTCTAAGGCAACAATTACATAATTCATCGCAACAGCACTGAAATGGAGATCTGCCGAGTGGCAAATCGGATTCTGGATGAATTAGTTCGTCCCTTCCAGGAAATTCAAATAGATGACAATGAATATGCTTGCTTGAAAGCAATTGTGTTTTTTGATCCAGGTATTTTTACAAAAAATATCTCTCAATTGTTTTACATGTGATTGTATTGAAAGTAATTTTTGTTAATTTAGCATCTGTTCATGTTATCTAGCTGCATGGAAAACAATAAAATGAAAAACAGTAAGATATTCCTCCCAAATTGTAATATGCCTTGACTTTAAGTTTTTGTCATTTTTTAAGATGCAAAAGGTTTGAGTAATCCATTGAAGATTAAGAATATGCGATTCCAAGTCCAAATCAGTTTAGAGGATTATATTAATGACCGTCAGTATGACTCCAGAGGAAGATTTGGAGAACTTCTTCTTCTACTGCCTACACTCCAAAGCATCACTTGGCAAATGATTGAGCAGATACAATTGGTTAAATTATTTGGAATTGTTAAAATTGACAGTTTGCTTCAGGAAATGTTACTGGGAGGTAAGCTAGCAATTTGTTAAATTTACCATCTTGTATTATGTTGAATTTAGCATGTTGGGATGTTGAGGGAATCCTGATCTAAGCTAGAACTCTGACTCACTGTGTGAGCTTTGTGTTTTGTATTTGTTAGCTAAAGCCTTCTTGTCTTGGCCGTTCATCTTGTTAACTTAGTCTTACAATAACAGATTTTGTATGTACTTCTCAGTAACTACTAGGTTGTCCTACAATCCCCTAGGCAGATGAAAGAATCCTTAGAAATGTTTCATGAAACACACTGTTATTGCAGTCAAAACAGTGAAAATAAACACAGTGCTTAATATGCTTGAAGTCTGCTTAAATTGTTTAATGAATACCCAGAGGCAATTATTCAAATTGCCAATCAAAATATTTACTCTGTGGAAATGTAATTACTGAAGTATAACTCACTGGCAACAATGTGCTCGTTTGCATTGATATACACTCATGTTATTTTTGCAGGTACTTCTAATGATGCCAGTCATCTGCATCATCCAGTGCATCCTCACTTAGCCCAAGATCCATTAACTGGCCAAACTGTCCTCATAAGTTCAATGTCTGCTCCTGTACATGCGGAACAGATACGTAAGTAATTGCAAGTTAGCCTTCTGTCATAACACTTCACTGTTTCATTTTATAATATTAATTAGCATGGTGGCTTGTCAGTGTTCATAGAACTATTTCATCATAATTCTTAAATTAAAATAATTGTTCATTAAAAATGTATGTATATAAATGGTGTTAAGTAATGAACTTTGACCTGAATTTAATTTAAAAATTCAGCTCCATTCTGATATATCATTGTTTTTACATGCACAGTCTTTAATAAAATAAAAATTTGATCATTAAAATATCGTGTTTCCCTAGCATGTCGAGACACTCTCTTTCCCAAGTATGCAACAGGACTCCCTTTCAGTGCAGTAGGGTATATATGTAGAGTAGACCAGGCTATAGAAATATATAATAATTATTTCTATGTTGTTTTTTTTTCAGCAACTCCAGAAACTCCATTACCTTCCCCTCCACAAGGCTCTGGGCAAGAATACAAAATGTCTGCAAATCAAGCTTCAGTCATTGCACAGCAATCTATTTTGAAACCAAAACCATTGTGATATTTTTATCTCTGTCTTATCCTTTCTTCCTTCCCTTCCTTCCCTTCTTTCTCTTCCTTTTCATGCACTAGATAGATTGGTAGAAGACTTGCACATTTAAAATCTCAGGTTGATAAAGGAAATTATTTCCTCAGCAGCCACTACTAAGTGGGTGTTCCTTAAAACACCTCATGATTTGGATAGTAATGCTGTTCTGACTACTGCATACAACTGTAACTGTGGACGCTGCAGTCTGACAGATATGTATAGAGGTAGATATTATTTTTAGATCTTATAAATGCACAGATTCATATTTTTATTTCCTGTTTTAGTTGTCTTAATATTTTTGTTTTAGATGTGTATATAATTTTTTTCATTGTAATGGAACTGCTTAGTGGTTGTTTAGCTGTGAATTGTAGATATGAAAAAGTGGGTTATTCAGGCAAAAGCCAAGATTCCACTAATAGTAGAATATTAGACTACCAAAAAAAGCACATGAATTGAAAAAAAAGGAAAACATACTTAGTGGACAGAAAACCCCAAATATTTTTAAAAATCCTGATTTGAAAGGACCATCTCTTTCAAGTAAAATTTCAACAAAAGCATTGAATCCTCCCTGCTTAACAGTTTGTATGAAGCAGAAGGCCTGCCTGGGTGAATATGCTTGAGGACTTCTTAAAATCTATATATAGAACATAAGTAGATATTATGTCTATATATAGTCAATTGGCCAGTGCTGAAGCATTTATATTGATAAGTACTTAGAACAAGGACTGGTAGGCTTTTTGGTCTGGACTAACTAGTACTTTCCCAAAAAATTTATGAGCACACTTTGGGAATTAGGCCAGTCTAGGTACACTTTTCACCAGGTTCTTTGAACACTTCTCTTTAAGAGTACGGAGAGTATCACAGAACCCCAGAATAAACTGAGTTGGAAGGGACCCACAAAGATCATCATCTCCTGGCCTTACATAGCACAATCCCCAAGGGTTGTCCAAATGCTTCAGGGTTTTCTGTGACCACTTCCCTGGGGAGCCTCTTCCAGTGCCCAACCACCCTCTGGGTGAAGAACCTTTTCCTAATATCCAACCGAAGCCTCCCCACACAACTTCAGGCCATTCCCTTGAGTCCTGTCTCTGGAAACACAAAGAAGAGATCAGTGTCTTCTCCTCCTCTTGCCCTCACAAGGAAGTTTTAGACTGCAATGAGTTGTAACTAGGGCCATGTTATTTGACCTCAGGGCAAGAGGACACTTTGTGATGTTTGGTTTACTAGTGTAAGAGTAGCCATTGTGTTTATTTGTCTGACTGGGTGTCAGCAATCACTAAAATTCACCCACTGAAAAGTTGTAATTAATGTAGTAGCTCTGTGTTTGGGGAGTTATGACTTACTAATTGCAGTGCCTGAGTTCAGCTCCAGGTGTTCCTGGTTTGAGCCATGGTATTTCAAGCCAGAAGGCAGCCAGAAGACAGCACACCCTCTCAATTCACATACTCATCCTCTCAATGTCTAAGTTTTCAGAAGCATGCAATGACTTGCTTTTCTGTGATAAGCCCCTTTCTCCACCTCTTCCTCCCCTTCCAGTCTGGGGATCAAACCTTGATTAGGCTTTGTGTCTGGAGTCTATAACAACCCATCTGGATTTGGACTCTCCGTGAATTTGCACAAAGTGAACCTTGTGACACATGCTCACTTGAGGCATTTATACTACTCAGTTACAATTTGTGAAAGTAGTCTTTTATGATATATGAAGTGATATGTTGTTCATACAATAGTAGCATCATAAGAAAATCGCCACTTCACATATTGTATTTATTCCAGACAGCAATGATTTAGTACTTCAAAGCAGACTTTCTACCAGAAGATATGTAAGAGAGAAACATACAAAAAAGAGATAATAATATATTGCAGTTTGCAAAGAGAAAAAAACATAGTGGAGTCAGAAATTCTTCAAGGTGAGATGTTGATCATCCTGAACCAGACACCTTCATTAATCACAGCATCCAGAGATGGTGCAGTGACACCCTTGGCTTGTAAAAGTTGCTCAAACAATCCAGAATGATTCTTCAAACACATTTTTGTAGGCAGGAAATGCAACACGGTAAATGCTGAACTGACCCGAACATTCAAAAGGCTTTAATGAGAATGCACCTACCACCACGTAGACACTGTGTTTCTTTGTTATTTTAAAGTAGTTGCTTTTGTAAAGTCTGTATACAGTAGCTATTAATGTTTGCCTTTTACTTTTTAGATCCTTTTCCTTTTTGCTGTTTACCGTTTGGTTTTTTTTAATGCATTGCTCTTTTTAGAAGTTCCTTTTAATATGAGTTTTTATGATAGAATAAGGTACTGAGGTTTTGCCATTAACTTTAAGGGTATCCAGACTCTGTTTTTTTTGCAAGTTGGCCACCAATGCTTTACAGTGATACACAAAGGTAAAACAAGTGTGAGAGATACTGAGCAGCCCAAAAGTTTACTGATTTGGTTCAGATTTGTGTACTTATCATAGAAAGAGTGCTGGACTCTAGGTGGATCCGCATGAATTTACTGGGTCAGATAAATGAAGTCAACTATATAAACATGGCAGTATTGGTCTGACTAAAAACATATAATTGGAAATAAAGATCAGTCCCCAAGCTGGCCACCCTTGCCTTATATAAAAGATGTGCATAATACCTTACTTTATTTTTCACGGTGAACTTTAAATATCAAGTGTACAATAAAATGTTGTCACACACTGCCAAAATGTACTGGAGGAAAAATATACTTTAGTATTTTGTCTGACAAAAAGCTGTTGTCTATTTTGTACAATATATTACATTTTTGAATAAGAACACCACTGTAATTTATTGGGAAAAGCTGATTTATTTTATAAATGTAACATTATTTTTGTAAACTTAATTATGAAAAATCAGAAATGATTAGTGCTGTTAAATATTAAATTATAATGAGATGTAACTTTATATGTTTGAACTCTGATACCAAGTTTTTGTATTGAGCATTTGGAATTGAAATGGTTGCTGGAAATATTTCAAATGGACTGTTTTTCATCAAAGCTCAATAAAGAAATATGAATGATCCAAATGACATATTTGCCTTTTAGTATTTTTTTTTTTTTACTATTTACATAAACAATGAGAGTGGTTTATATTCCTTACACAATGAATAAGTATATAACTAACATGCTTTCATCTCTACAGTGTTCACAGCATCACAGAATGGCTGAGGTTGGAAGGGACCTCTGGAGGTCACCTAATCCAACCCCCTCTGCTCAAGCAGGATATTGAAATCATATGAAAGAATCCGATGGTGACATTTTAGTTGATTCTTCTGTAACATGGCAAAGTATTACATAGCTATGGTCTTCAGTTTTTACTTCTGACTCAGAACAGAACTGAAGAACATGCTTAATTCCATCTGTGTTTAAAATTAACCATATGTTCAACAGTCTGGTTTTTTTGGACAGGGATAACTTAAGAAATCACTGCCTTTGCTCCAGTGCATTGTTATTTAGAAAAATTTAGGTGCAATTTGATAGACGTATTGTAAACTCTAGAATTACTCTTTACAATATTTTTTTTTTTTTTTTTTAGATAACCAGTATCTCCTCTGCCTTGGACATTATGTTCAGTTGCATGTCTCTTTACTAGATTTTGAATGGAAATGGGGTTAGGTTGTTAGTTAGTTTGTTTATTTTGGGGTTTTTTTTTTTTTGTTGTTTTGGTTTCTTTTTTTGTTAGTAGTAATAATACAGTGATTTGGACTGCTTACTTTTGCTGAAATGGGCTCTACTCTGGAGTGCAGAACTACAGGGAAAAGTTGCCATGGAGACTCCATTTTGAATGCTGGAGATCTTCTGGTCCTTCTGAGGAACTTTAATCAATGGCTGATTATTTTACATGCAGGAAACCTCTACTTATGAATGCTGACTGGGGTGTAGGAGGTTTAGGATTTTAGGGAACTAAAAGAGTTTTTTTTCTCAGCCTACAATGAAAGAAATATGGAAACTCCCTTTGAACTTCTATGCTGTGAAGTGCTGACAGAGTATTTTTCAAGATTTTAATAAATCAGCTTTACAGGGAGCCCCAACAGGTGAATCAGGATTATGTGTTTTACAGAAAGAGATAGATGAACTAGCTTTCAGTTCTAATCATTATCTCCCATCTAAGGAATTCTGAAAGTGAGCAAAGATATTTACTGTGCTCCAGGAATCTTCTGTGACAGGAACTTTAACATTCACATAATGTAAGAGAATTTGTTATAATTCTTTGTTTTATTCATATGCTTGGAAGTTCTGGTTTTACCTCAAGGATGTCTGTCAGTCTGTGGTGGCCTAACATTTTATTATGTCTTTCAACAGACTATTTCTAGTTGTGTACCACCATTTGTGATACTTATGCTAAAGTATATAGTAAAGAAATACTTAGATCCACATTTTAATAAAATTAAATTAATTGGTTTGCATTTAATTTTTACATTTTTCTATTTGGCCTGATAAAGATGCATTAGCTTTCTTCTTTCCCTTTATTCTCCCTAGGAATAAACAAGAAATGGAAAAAAAATATTTATCACCAAATTTAGTGTTACAATGGGAGCAATGCAATTGCACTTCTCTTTCTTCTGTTGTTTTTCTACTATGAAGATAGAGGAGATGGTTGACATCAATCACTGCTTTCTTTTGGTTCCTTATTTTCTTGTGGTAAATCCAAGTATTTTCATTAATTGAATAGTCTATGTGTTAATAAAAAACCTTCTATGAAGCCAAAAGCTATATTTGATTGCTGAGGGGATTAAAGGTACTCAATTGCAGTAATATATTTTCAAAAATTTATTTCATAAAAATTAAAATGTATGCCTGATTTCCAAACAAAAGCATAAATATTTCTGTTAAAAGGTAAGAAACTTGAAGACATAATCAAATGTAAAGATTCTTCTATAATGACAGTGAAAGAGAACTTACATTTTGTGTCACCAACTATAATAATTTCCTTTTGAATACCAGCTAAACAGGATGGGCAAAATCTCATCAAGACATATGCCTAGCCTAAAATGTTTTTATGACAATGATCTCTAGTCCTTAATATTGTGGTGGAGCTATGATTGCTACTGACATTATGCAGTTCACCTGAATCAAGTGTCAGTCAAAGATGCCATGTCGATCCTAGATTTACTGATGCTGCTGAGAGGGCAGCTACCTCCTCACAAACAAAGCCTGATGTGACAGCTTCTGCAAGTCACATTGTGGCAGGACACCTTTGCATCAGCACAGAGCTCTTAATTACCCAATGATTTTGGGCCTGACACCACTTCTTCCTTTTGCAAGGGTGAATGTCACCAATGTCTGACATGAAGAGGTGAACAGCAGCAAGTGCTGAAGATTTTTCATTTAGCCAGTCTGGTCAAGGGGTAGTTTCATCTAAAGCTTAGATCTCTCCTCTGAGACTAGAGCAGAAAGACTAGAAATCCAGAGTTTTCAAATGTCTTTAGCTTTGATCTGAATAGCACTGGCTGGCCTTTTTGAGTCTTAGTATAGCCAGAGTTGAACCATTGAGTGTCCTGTGTCTGATTAGGCTCAGTGACATTTTGGGGTCTGGCCTCCTAGCTAGCCTCCTTTGCCAGTTTTTTTGGTGGGTTGACCAAACAGACAGCAGTTGCTGTTTCAATTTTAGAATACTGAAGGTCTTCAAGGAAGCATAATCTTAAAAATTGCACACAGAGATATGTCTCTGGGACTGAAATTACCTGAACAAGTTAAAGGAGTTAGTGATTGGTTAGGAAAAAATAAGAGTATATAATAAGGCGTTCTTCAGTTTTTCAAGGGAATTCCGTGAAAGGAGGAAGGAAAGAAGACACACAAAAATTGGCTAACACTGTTGATTCCACAAGGAGATTAGGAAAACCTCTTTAGGGGAGGTATGAGATTGAGATTTGCTCAATATATTCAGTGTGGTTTGGTTTGTGGTTCAGTATATCACCTGTAGATTGCAAACTTCATACTCAGAGCAGCTGATTTATTTACAGTTTTTATTTAGCAATTCATGAAACATATCCTAGCAGCTTAACATGCCCTCAGGTGCCCACTGGCAGCTTGTTGGCTCTTCACAGGGCAGCTCTACAGGGAGGTCTGGACACATTCTGCATCACAGCTCTGGGACCCTTACTCTAAGTATTATTAAATACATTCTTTACCAATGGGCTGTAATGCCATGGGAGTGAAACAATGCCCTTCCTGTAGCCCATGGCAGTTCTTGCTGTCACCAATCCCCTTTTATCATCAAGCCTTGTTTCATGTGACACAGCTGAACTTGCCAGTTGTATCACCTGCTGTGACATGTTCTGTTTCATGCTTCTCACAAAGCCAACTGAGACAAGATAAAACTTTGGTTGGGTTCTTAGTTGCATTCAGAGTCAACATTTCACTTTGATACAGCTTTGGAGCAAAAACCAAAGTGTTGGATCTGGTGATGTTCTCGTCTGTCACTTTTATGTCAGCCACCCAATATGCAGAGTGTTTGTGTCACCTATTACAGTGGTCTTATTTCCTGTCTTGTTCAAATAAAACAAGTAAATAGGTTTTTTACAACTGCTCTCTAGTAAAAATTAGAATTAATTAATAGAACACAGTTTTGAGATCATATTAAACTGCTTTTTTTTTAGTCTATGCATTCTGCAGCTTAAATGAAATGGTGCGGCTCACCATTACATTTTAATCAGCAGGCAGTTTTTTTCTTCCCTGTTTTTTTGACCTCCTCACAACTGAATGAATTTTCATGAATATGACTGCCCAACAAAGCATCCAGTTTTTCAGATGTCTGCCTTTTGTAATTTAAATAATGTAAGCATATGAACATAGAGTTTGAATTAAGAGGCAAAGGCAATCTCACCAAAAGAGTTTATTCAATATATTTCCAACATCATCTATTTCAAGATATAATTAAGATTACCATGGCCCAAGTCTAATTTACTGTGGTTTCCAAAAAGTGGAGAAGATAGCAACTGTAATAGAGGACAAGAATTTTCCATATAAAATTTTTCATTGTCATATTAGATTTTTAATGGGCATTAGTCTGGATCATAAATGTAATAAAATGGAACAATATTCTAAAATATGCGGACAGATGTACTATAAAATAACAAACTTTATATATCTAATTTATTTACCATGAAGTACACTTTTCTTTTGCAGCATGAACATTAATATCCATTTTTTATCTCAACACCAAAATCACAATTTAACTGTAGCACGATCTGTCCTCTATTTTAATGTGAGCTTTTTTGCAGATTGATTAAAATCGCATTGTGTGATTAAACACATAGAGGCAGATATTCTGTCCTTGTGACACTGTGCCTCTTCAGAGACTGACAGCCTGAGGTGCTGCTCATTAACCAACAAATAATTTGAAAATGAAAAGAGGGATGGAGTCCTTCTGGAGGGCAGGAGAGGAATCCCCCTCCCTGCTCATGAAGAAGGCAGTGTTGAAGCTTTCAGCTTTTGACTTTGGAAGGAGACATCTGCTTAAGGAGAAATTTGCACTTTGAAGATAGGGGTAATAGTGGGGAAAAAAATCCCTTAAAAAATATAGTGCTTTTTCCAGGGAACCCAGTTAGAGAGGATAGATTCAAGGTGCCTTGATGAGCACAGAAGGACAGTTAGTCCAGGAAGTAACACAGTGCTATTGCCCTTTGCAATGCCTCAGCTTCTGGAGGCATATCAATATGTAAAAGGTAATCTTTCTTTTTTCATGGTCAGAGCAAGCTTGAAGGCACCATGGTGAACAGAGAACCTCCTTAAACAATGAAACTTACATGCAGAAAAATTATTATTTTGATTTGGAAATAATTGAGTTTATTGATTTTTTTTATACAAGTCAATCTTTCTGGTATTCTGGGTGCTCTTTTCAGACTTTAAATGCTTGGAATTGACTGTGATATGTTAGATGTCATCTTTGTGTTCTGCTTGCTAAGGGGGCGTGGGGCAGTGAATGAAGACAGAAAAAGGTCAATAAGAAGCCAAAGCCATGGAAACTCTCAAATCCAAAGATTATACCTTCTCCAGCACAATAAATAGTCTCATGGAACCTACTTCAACTAAAGCATGTGAATAGAATCATTTCCTCAAATTACTGTCTTCAAACCTAATATAATTTGCTGGTGATATAAGGTTATTTAGTGTAATAACTATTAATTGCATTGCCCTGTCCTCTCTCTCACCTGATTCTTATCTTTCCCAGAGTAAGAGTCCTTATTTATTTACAGCTTAATTTATATTGAATCTTGTGCCGGAGAATCCTTGAACCCATCAAGCTTACACCACTTGTGTTGTCACACTGCCAGCCCCATTACATGAAAATTCAGGCTGAGTTTCCTGGAGCAACCCCCTCTGCCTACTAGAATATCTAGAAAAGGCAAAAGAAAGCAGCAAATTTAGAAGGATGCAGAGCACGCTGTCATTTCTGTTACTCACTGCTGCTGAATTCACTACCT